GCTGGAATTTCTTGGGTTATTATGTTATTCATTGTGATACAATAAATATTGATAATATGTGTTCTTTGTCCCTAGTTCCTGACACAGAGCTTCAAAATCCCTTGGAATTTCCTAAGTGATAGGAGTTCTTTTGTTTTTCATAATGAGCCCCTTTAGATCATACTTGAATTTATGCTAAGAGATGGCTCATGGTGAAACTTAGATAGTTTCAATAGTTTTGAGGGAAAGGTTGGCCATGCCAGAAAGACCAAGCACTTCATTAGAGGGTTGAAACTTTCACTTTTATTCCTCAAACTGTACATAGGGGAGTGGGACTAGAGATTAAGTTCAATCACATGGTCAATGATTTCATCAATCATTTCTAATTAATGAAACCCAAATAAAATCTCTGAATACTGAAGGTCAGTAGGTTCTGGGTTGCTGAACACATTGATGTGCTGCGAGGGTGGCATACCTGGATGCTACAAGCAGAGGGGATGGAAGTTCTACACCACCTTCCTCCCTTGAGACCTTGCCTTACTCATTTCTTCCATTTGGGTGTTCCTGAGTGTATCCTTTATAATAAAACTATAGTCATAAGTGTAGCACTTTTATTGAATTTTTCTAGTAAATTTTATCACCTGAAGCAGGGTCATGGGAACCCAAGAATTTGTAGTCTAAAGTAAGTGTAGTCTTGTTGGATGCTTTGCCATTTAACTTGTAGGACCTGACACTAACTCCAAGGTATTTAGTGTCAGAACTGAATTGACTTGCAGGACACTCAACTGATGCAAAGAATTGGTGGCAGTATGTATTCATTAATGTTAGATAATATACCAATATTTTATCGTTGGCAAACAAATATATCTTTGTAGGCATGCCAGCACTTAACAATTAATTTTATGAAAATAAAATTGCAGGTGAAGAAATTAACTCTATACTTGGCATATCATAAGAACACAGAAATAATGACATTTTTATGGGTCGGAGGAAAGTCCAAAGACCTCACATGAAAGAGCATAAAGTGGTCTCAACAGATTACATAAGAAAAAAAAAAAAAACACACACACACAGCTAGTGTAAGAGGGAGACACAATGTTAATGGTTTCCATGCATTGTTTTACATGCATAGCTTTATATCAGAGTCACCTAGGGAATTTTAGAAATACTGCTTCAAAGGATGCACTGAAAATCAAATACATTGATTCCATGAGAATGAGGACTAAACATATTTTAAATGTCCCCTAGTGATGATTCTAAAGATTCAAACTTGAAAATAACTGTTCTAGAGGCAAAATGTATATCCTATAAAAATCAAGAATTACATATACTTCATCAATCATCTATCTAAAACACTGGATGAAAGATTATTATATAAACCAAATGTTGAAGAAAAACAACTTTGAACATAAGTTTCTATAATAAATCTTATGTTAAACTGGATACATACTTTCTTTAAAGTGCACAAGACTCAAATACATTATCAAATAGAAACATGCTCCAAAAAAAATTGCAAAAAGTACTTCAGCTGAGCTGAAGTAAAATTAATCTAGGAGGAAGCCATTATATGGGAAGCAAGATTAATAAAGATTTTATTTAGATTTCCTTTTATCTAAATTGACAGAACACATATTTAAGTTTAAGATAATTCTCAGATTGGATTTCAAAAAGCATTCAACAATGTGTTGTCTGGAAGTGACACAGGCAAAAGAAAAAAATTAAGCTTGAAAAGATATATACAGAGATATAAGGCAAATGTGGAGCAGATACCCCAAGTGGGCAATTTCATATCAGATAAAATAAAACTCAAGATTAAGAATAACACAGAAGATTAAAAACAAATAGCTAAAAGAATAATTTAGTAAGAATATATTACATTTATAACATAGTCTTGATATCTGTAAGACAAAATTTGTTAGAAATACAGAAAGAAATTAGTAATCCTAAAATAGTGGTTTCATCATAATTATCTTGAGAACTGATAGATGTAACTGATCAGAATAATCAAGGTGTTAAAAATGTGACTAAAAGAATAAAAATAAAAGAACTGTTTTTTTAATAAGATATGTACTATGTACTGCCTTGGACACATAGATTATTAACACTGACATTAAAAATAAAAACATTGTATAAGAAACACAGAGGGCTTCCCTGGTGGCGCAGTGGTTGAGAGTCCGCCTGCCAATGCAGGGGACACGGGTTCGTGCTCCGGTCCGGGAAGATCCCACATGCCGCGGAGCGGCTGGGCCTGTGAGCCATGGCCGCTGAGCCTGCGCGTCCGGAGCCTGTGCTCCGCAACGGGAGAGGCCACAGCAGTAAGAGGCCCGCGTATCGCAAAAAAAAAAAAAAAAAAGAAACACAGAAAGTTTCAATAAATCCCACAAAATCATTATAATCAATGATTACAAAGAAATTGAACTCATAAGCAGAAACATAATAGCTTGCAATATATGTTAATGTATAAATATGCTAGCGTCATGTTTTTAAATAACTCATAGCTTATACAGGAAAGCAAGAGAAATTATAAAATATTTAAAACAAAAAATATTAAAAGTAATGAATTCCAAATTTCCAGACTGAATCCAAAGGGGTCATTGAAGAATACTGAGAGAGAGAAAGGGAGGGAGAGAGAGAGAGAGAGAAATTGATTTTAATGCTTTCATGAGGAAAGGAAGAATGAAAATAAAGGCAGTAATAGTGCGCATTAAAAAAAACTTAAAAAGATTAGTATATCATATTCAAATAAATAAGATGAAATGAAATAGAATAATTTAAAAAATAATTATGTGATAAAACATTTTTTCTTTAAAATCTAATAAATCTTTGGCAAGACTGATAATGAAAAAAAGAGGAAATAATCATGTGTCAGAGTTGCCTTTTTTGTTTGTTTTTGCAAGGATCAGAAATTAACAATGAATGAATTAAATATAAAATATACATTGAAAAATATGGGAGAGTTCACAGAATTTACTTAAAGCACAGAAGAACAAGACCTGGAAATGAATGGGATAGAAGAGTCTAGATAGCAGGCAGGCCCACAGATTCGATTCTGCTGTTGTCAACACTAAACCCAAACATCTACAGCTCGTACCACTGGTGCCAGTCCAAGATACTGGCACAACTGCTAAAGCCCATAAAATTAATCATTTTTGCCCCTAAAATTAATCATTTTTGCCGCTAAAATTAATCATTTGGAGAATGAATCCTTTGCTTAATTTACTTCCTTGGCTTTCTGGCTCCTTATTCATAACCTACAATTAATGTTATTGATTGGGTGAGGCTTCACTAGGTTCACATGAAGGAGAGGCAAGCAAGACTGAAAATGAAGTACCTGGAATTTTCAATATCAATAGTAAATGAAAGAGGCTCTGCTTCCCACCTTATCAAAAAATAGTTTTCCCCTAAACCTCACATCTACGCTTCATCATCTAACAGAAAATATGTTTCCCAACAAAATATATTCAAACTTTCCTTGGTTTCAGTATCTAGAAACAAATTTCAGATTTTTAGGTAAAGGAAAGTCCTTTTCCCATTCTGTCGTGATTTCAACTGGATTATCTGTAAACTGTAGCCATGTGATATTGTGATTTATAATAAGAAATACATATTTGGTCTTTGTTCCCTTTTCTGGCACCAAGCTCCTAGATCCCTTATAATTTCCTGAGCACTGAGAGAGACAAAGGTACCTTTTGTTATGTTAATGAGGTGACTAAATGTTGGGGGCTGGTTGCCAGGAGAACCAAGCACATGATTAGAAACTTGGATCTTTCAGTCCCCCCCACACCGCGTCCCCCCACCCCCGACCTCTGGGGAGGAGAGGGAAGAAGACAGGGAGATTGAATCAATCTCCAATGGTCGATGATTTAATCTATCATGCAAATATAATGAAGCTTTCATAAAACCCCAAAGAGAGTTTGAATAGCTTCCAGATTTGGGGATTTGGTGAAAACATGGAGATTTGGGGAGAGTGGTACCCCTGACAGGGCATGAAAGCTCTGAGTCCTTTCCCCACGCCTTGCCCTGTGCATCTCTTCCATCTGGCTATTCCTGAGTTATATCCTTTTATAATAAACTGGTAATGTAGTAAGTAAATATTTCTCTGAGCTCTGTGAGCTGCTCTAGCAAACTAATAGAACCCAAGGTGGATTGGTCAGAAGCACAGGTGACAACTTGCACTTGCAACTGGTACCTGAAGGGAGGAGTAGTGGCAGTCCTGTATAACTGAGCCCTTAACTTGTGGAATCTGATGCCATCTCTTGGCAGATGACATCAGAACTGGGGTGAACTGTAGGATACCCAGCTGGTGTCAGAGAATTGCTTGTTGGATGTGCTGGAACGCCCCCCCACCACCCCGACTTTCCTCTCTACCCCTGCCCACACCCATTGGCATTGGGTGCAGAATAGGAAGCCAAAATTGGTAATTTATACACCACGAACATATTTTATATAAAACTGTGTATAAAAATGGGAGGAAAGAAAAGTGAAATTTATTTTAAATATATTTTTATTACACACTTTGGAAGGAAATATATTCAGATAATGCTGTCCTTGTTTTTATGTATTTGTCAGGAGACTGTAGGTAGTACTAGTAATTTTCCTCTTCAACTGTCCCTCAAGGCCACTTTTGAGGTTAGCCGTAACACCACCACACTAACATACCTCTCCACATCTGAGTACGCCAGCATATTTACAGAATACTCTGTTAAGCAGGCTTGAATATTTTTTCTTCTCTAACAGATATTCATAGAGGGAATATCCCATGTGACTATAGATAAATGCTGAAAACACAGTAGCAGTATAGCAGATGTAAGCATACCAATAGTTAAGCCCAATGTCTGTGCACCTTCTTTTGCATGGCCCTTTGTGATAATGGAATCTGCTTGTGTGCCTTACTTTGTGGCTTGATGATAAAAAAGCACTAGTTTATAATAGAAACTTGGATTATATGGTCACCTGAATTTCCCTAATCAGATCTTTGTTGTTTAACTGGAAACAGAGGAAGAACATTCCTCAGAGGTGAAGCAATAAATTGTCAAAGAGGGTATCATTTTGCTCAGAACCAAAATCCAAACTGGATTTTAACTAGGGATGCTCTAAGGATCCTCACCCTTGAAGATCTGGAATCTTTAATGCTGGCACTAGTATTTGTGATTCCCAATCTGCTTCTCTCCATCCCCACTCCCAGAATATAATAAATTTTTAATTTAAATTTTGGTAGAGATGTAGCTTCATATTCTTGGCTCTTCATATAATAATACTCCTTAGTCTAAGGGCTGGAGTTGTTCAACATATTTATTTTTACTTTCTTAATCGCACCACCCTTCAAATATAGCTCCCTTTTTCTGCTCCCCTTTATAAAAATATTTTTTGAAATAGTTGTCTGCATTCACTGTTCCTGATACATCTTCTTCTATTTTCTCCTGAACTCAGTTTAACTGAAAACAAAAAGAGTAAATTTAAGGATTGGGAATTAATTACACCACTCATCTGAAAAACTTTATATTGTTCAGGTATTAAAATACTTCAATGACTCCCATTAATTTTAAGATTAAAACCGAACTTTTAAAAATGACACTTCAATGCTCTTAAACTTTGCTTGCCCAAAATATATATCAAAATCAATTTCTTCCCATTCTTTCAATTGTTCTATGAACTTGCTATAAACAACCACCTGCCATACATTTCGAATGCTAACCTTATTACATTCTCTGCCATCATGCTTAATTTCTATAATTCCTACTTGTCTCTAAAGTTACAATTTATATATTGCAATTTATAATAAGAAATATATCTTTGATCTTCATCCCCATTTTTTGCAGAGCTCCTAAATCCCTTGTATTTCCTAAGTGATAACAGCTATGAAGGTATCTTGATATTTACAACTAACCCCTTTCAACCACACCTGAGTTTATGTTAATGAGGTGACTTTTGGTGTGCATCTAAGGATAGGGGTTGGTTACAGTGATTAGAGGATTGGAATTTTCAGTTCCACTCTCTGATTTCTGAGGAGAGGAGAGAGACTGAAGGTTGAATCAATCACTTGCGGCCAATGACTTAGTAAATCATGTCTGTGTAATGAATCCTCCATAAAAACCAAAAAAAATGGGGTTCTGAGAGCTTTTGGGTTGGTGAACAAGTGGAGATTTGGGGAGAGTGGCATATTCTGAGAGCATGGAAGCTCTGCATCCCTTCCTATATAATTTGTCCTGTGCATCTTTTCCATCTCTCTATTGATTTGTATCTTTTAATATCATTTGTAATAAACCAGTAATTTAGTGAGTAATTTGCTTTCCTGAGTTCTGTGAGATGCTCTAGCAGATTAATCAAACCTAAGGAGGTGGTCATGAAACCAAGTAGGACCCTGTGGGGCTCCTGGACATGGAAGACTTTCTGTGTTCTCTGTTTCTTGTTTGTAGGGAATAGACTCCAGTCTCCATGACCTTCCCTGAGTTCTGAAGGGCAGATTTGAACAGTTGCTAATCAGGGAAGGGAGGGATGCAGAGACAAGGGAGGAGCAGCCAAGAAACAACAGTGCACCCTTGGGGCAGGGTCCTGGTTCCACCTCAAGTGATGCCCATAACAATATCTTTAAGCTCTTCTGCAGAACTAAAACCCCTATCAAATGGAGGATGTTCGCATTCTTCATTCCAGAGAAAAGGTCACAGTTTGATAGTCTCAAGAACCAAAGAAGCTCATTAAGAGGCCACCTGAGGACAGATTAAAGGAACCAGAAAAGCTCATCAGGAGACTACTTGAGACCAGATTAAAGGAGTGCAGGCCCTGCACACACCCTGATCCTTATAAGCGACCCCACCCTTGAACCATTGCTATAAAACTCCTCATCACATCCTCCTGGGTTGGGACGCACAGTTTTGAGAGGCATGAGCTTGCTGTGTCCCTCTTTGCCTGGCAAAGAAATAAAGATTATTTTTTCCACTTCACCCAAAACTCTGTCTCTGAGATTTGATTAGGCACCATTGTACAGAGGCTGAGTTTTCAGCATCAGTCATGGGAACCTCTGATTTATAGCCAGTAAGTCAGAAACACAGGTAACAACCTGGACTTGAGATTGGTATTGTAAGCAGATAGGGTAGGGTAGGGGGTCCCCAGAGAAGGAGAACCAGGCATGGCTTTCTTGACAGAAGAGAAGCCATTTTTTGCCTAAGCCATTTTGTGATCTAGCCTGCCTACAATGCTTGTCCTTGGACAGGTCTCAGTAATTAATGATCTTAAGAGAACAAAAGAATGCAGAAACAACTATGGTCAGGCAAGAGAAGTAACAATAGCAAAGATAATATATCAGTTGTAAAGACTCTCAGTTCTGTTTCAGTGGTAAAGATTAGCCTGAAGCACTCAACCACCAAATGAACTGGAACTTAAGGGATGATGATGTTGACCTTTTCTGACTCTACTGACTTCAATCAATTAAAGCTTGGACTCTGTCGACAGCCCAAGTCCCTCCATGAATATGCATGTACGCTTAGCTTAAAACTTCCCCAATTTTGTTGTTCAGGGAGACACTGCTTTAGGAAAGATTCCCAGTATTCTCCTTACTTACTTCAAGTAATAAATCCTTCCTTATCCTGATCTTTGGCTTGGTTATGTCTTTTGGCTCAACACCCACCAAGAGGTAAACCCAGTTTTTGGGTAACAGTATCTGAAGTGTAGGACAGTCCTGTGGTACTGAAAAATCTGATGCTATTTCCAGGTAGACAGTGTCCAAATTGAGTTGAATTTTAGGGTACCCAGCTGGTGTTGGAGAATTGCTTGGTGGTGTGGGGATAAAATCCCATACACTGGAATTGGAATCAACATTGTTATATATCTAACTTAAAGCATATGTTTCCATAGAAGCCTGTAGTAGCCCTAACCCTGCATTAATTATAATTTTTTGTTTCCATTTTTATTTCTCTCCATAACAACAACAGCAACTATAATTATAAATAAAATCTTAAGTTGGGGTTAAATGTCAATCAATTTTCATTGCATGGACTAAGGAACACATTTGAGAGGAATTTGATTCTTTGATTCATCTCTTTAATTACACATTTGTTCATACTGGTTTCAGGTACTAAGATATATACTACATATAAGAAAACCAATACTGTAAAAATTAAATGTGTGTATTTTGAAATGCCACCTTCTACCTTGATGTGTGTGTTTGTGTGTGTGTGTGTGTGTGTATGCACATGATTATATAGAATGTGGTGATCCTCAAGGCAGCAGAAAGCATTTTAAATCTAGAGGAGGGGTAGGTATCTTCTTCTTGATTCTACTGTATCTTTGTCTCTTGTCTTGGAGAATCTGTTATCAAAACTGATTTGGAATCCAGTTAACATGAAAATCTAATATTCAAAATGTGGTTTTTCAATTGCAAAGTTCCATGGGACATGCAAGTAAATACACATACATATCTCCTGCACACCTCCCATAAAGAAGTTTATCTTAACAGTTTTGTTGTGGTCAGCTTTGCTTTTAGTAAGGAAATCAATAAAATCTACAAAAACAAAACTTACACACTAAACAAAAATAACAACAGTTAACAAGCACCTTAACTAGTAGCTAGGCTCTGTGCTAAACACTCGACATTTATATTATTGTAAGAATAACTGAGATAGTAAATGTTTTATTTATAGTTAGGTTTTAATTTGAGGAAATTGAAGCTTTCAGGTTGAGAAACTTTCCACAGATCACTCTTTTAGAAGGTAGTGGAGTCAAGTTTCTAATTCAGGCAATTTACCTTCAGAGCCTGCAAAACTGGTAACCTTATTGTGTTCTCTCCTATTAGATAAGACAGAGCATAGTTTCAGATACCAGGAACAAACCTGGGAAACCTTTATGAACAGTGAGTACTGAACAAGTGAAAGGGGAGGCATTTCCAACGGTGTTTCCAATTGAATGAGTGCCATACAACAATTTTTATGGTTCATTAGACAATACATCTTAACTGATTCAATTATCTCCTCCTAGATCATTTATTTTTTCCATTATGTTTTCATCAGAAGAGAATATATTTGATCTTGTATGAATAAACCATTTTATCAATAGGATGTACTACAGACAAAAGGTTTAGTTCATCTAGAAGTAGTGCATTTATTGGAATGTTAACTTTCATCCAAACTTGTCTTCAGTTAAGTACATGTAAAACTGGATCTGCAGATACTCTTTGTAAGCATTTCATTTGTGAGTCAGTGAATATATAGAAAACATTTATGAATTCAATGTTCAGTGTTTATGCATTCACTTAATTTTATATTTTACCCAATTTATCATGATATACTAAAGGAAACAAGAGTAGTAGCTTCTATTCTAGAGGAATTAGAAATGTTAATATATAATTATAATGCAGTGTGATGAGAACCATAAAAGAATAAACACAAATAGATGAGTAGCTAACAACATCTGCTGGAGAACAGAAAGTTAAGTCTAATTTTTTAACAAATAAATTGGCATCAATTTTCAATGAAATGCTACACACGTACAAGTTCCCCCACTACCTCTCATTCCACCTAGAATTCAACTGATAAATAAAATATCTGATAAATATAGGAAATGTTTAAGAACTATTGGACAAATATTGAGTTTATGAAGACAGCATTTCTTATTAATTCTGACTCATTTTCTCTAACTCTCTTATAAATTCTAGTTAGCAAGATAAGTTACACTTAATTGTCTGTTCCTGAAATCTAGGTGGAAATGTGGACTGAAAAGGAAGTATTTATTTTGAGTATTTGGATGACTTCATTAGAATAAGAATCTGTTTTTTCGATGCACAACTTAGAAAAATAGGTGAATTTTTAAGTCCAAAGAGAAAGGACTTTTTTTTTAAACTTTTTATTTTATATTAGAGTATAGTTGATTAACAATGTTGTGTTAGTTTCAGGTGTATAGTAAAGTGATTCAGGTATTTTAAAGTGGCTGGTAATTTTGGTATCTTTATAGAATGACACAATCAAGATACTGTTGTTTTGTTAAAGCTAAAAAGTCATTTGGCAGAAGCCAAGAGAGGTAATTAGTGTAAGTTCTCTTTAAACTAACACATTTATAGGGTAATGGTCTTTTTGTGAAAGAAGTTCCTTGAGTGATATCTGAAAGCATTTGACTGAAAATATGTACTATGCAATTTATCAATTTATATGTTAATTTATTCAGCATATATCAAATATAGAGGTTGTTTCTGATTAGTTTGTATTATAGTTACAACTTTTGATTTGTATAGACTTTAGAAGCCTTAAAAATAACTTTCTCATTAAACATTCTGATATACATGAAAAGAAATTGCAGTTTAAATTATTTTAATGCAGTTTGAAAAAATATAATAATATTTATATGACTATTACTAAATAGTGATTTAATACTACTTATTTGAAGGTATGTATACCATGAAATATTATCTTATTAAATTATGATAGACTAATAGTTTAAAGAATAAATC